AACCAACCAACCAACCAACCAACCAACCAACCAACCAACCAACCAACCATAAAATATAGGCAGGCAGAGTTCTCACTGTATCAAGAATTTTGTTCAATGTTCTTAAACAGTTTCTAGGTACAGTTATTTCAAGTACAATGCATATGGGGTGGGAGGTGAAGATGGAGTGTGGTTCTTACTTTCCTCTCTCTCAACTTTACTGGAACTGTATTTACACATTTCCCACTGAACCTGAAAAGGAAAGTCAGGTTTTGGACAAGCTCAGAGTGAATCCTGTATCTGAGCATCTGTTTCCAGCACAAGCAATCAACATTCAAAGAGTTAGAAGCTAAGGCAGACTAAGAGTCAAGTTGAAAAACACAGAGACAAGGAGGAAAGGTTGGATGAAACAACTCTGTTCAACAGAATCTCCCAGTGCTCAATAAGGAACTAAAGTCAGGTATTAAGGCTGATACAGCATTCATGAGCTTGGTTTGCAAGAAATAAAGGACAGTAGTGACACACCAGATTTTGATACTTGGGTGCATCAGTATGAGACCCTCCCTTCCCTGCCTTACAAATTTTATACAGTGAAAAACTAAGTACAATACTACTTCCCATTGAAACACTTATTTTGCTGTTGATGTTAGGCTTTTCAAATGAAACTGCTAATAAATATTTCAACTTCCTCCCCCACCCTCAAAACTGGAGATGGGAAGGAGTCAAATTAATTTTATGTAGAAAAACATATTTAAAATCCTGATTATTCAGGAAAAGAACTGCAACCAGTTACTCAAAGGATAATCAATTAAGGCTGCCATTCAAATTCATGAGTCCACAGACTTACAACTCTGCTAGAGTTTTCAGCAACGTCCTGTTCTGTGGATCTTTCTTCAGATGGTCCAAAACAGCATGGACAATGACTGGATTGTTGTACAGATTCCCAGGCCATTCCTTAATTAATGTTGCAAAACCCTTGAAAGAATTCAAAACATCTTTTTTAATTTTGTATATTTCCGTTCATTAAGAGCTATTCCATTTTTTCCTTTTGTGTCATGGGTCAACTTGGAGCAGGGATTATCTTTTTTTTTTTTAATTGATCTGTAAGCCTGTACAAGAGTTGAACAAACAACTGTTTATGAAGTGGTGGCTTACTTAGGTATATGAATGATCACTTGATAAGTCTATTATTTTTTTGTATTGTCGAAGGCTTTCACGGCCAGCATATGATGGCTGGTGTGGGTCTTCCGGGCTG